CAGCAGCCTCCTCATGGAATTGGTGTGTGGCTTCAGTGAGAGGTGCCGGAAGGGGGATGTTTGCACACGGCCCGGCCCTGAGTCTGGGCCCAGTGAAGCGTGGGCAATGGCTGGATTAAGCTGGCCCCAATTCAAAGTGGAATTAGCCAACATCTGAGCCCCGTTGGTGCCAGGCACCAAGACGTGGGGGAAGGTGCCTCTCCTCCAGCAGCGGGTGGGTGTTCAGTCCATCGGCCTGTACCCATGTTCCCTTTTTGCCTACAGTCACAGCTCCTCCTGGCTGAGGCCACCTTCCCCTTTCTCTTTTCCCTTTCATTTCTTTGTGGTTCCTCTTGGGCCTGAGTTCCTGTTTCCTGACCTCCCTACCTCCCTGTTCACACCCCAAATGGCAAAGGTGCTGGGAGACTTCTGCCCTGTGGAATGACTGGGGCCCGAGCCACCACACACACCCCGTTTCTGCCCCCCTGCTCAAGGGCTCACGGTGGCCAAAAGCAGGAAGGTATCGTCCTTCTGCTTACCCGCCCTTGCCCTTCAGGACGTGAACCTGAAGATATCCCGGAACAACCAGCTGCTGCACTTCGCCTTCCGAGAGGATAAGCAGTGGAAGCTGCAGCAGGTAGCTGGGCCCTTGCCCTGCCAGGGCTCAGGCCACCAGGGCTCAGGCCACCAGGGCAGGCAGGGGCGGGCCTGAGTGGCACTCATGGCTCCAGGGCTGGCCATGGGGATTTGAGGCCGTAGCAAGCGTGGAAGGGTGTTTCCTGGTAGCAGAGCTGGGGCAGCAGTGCCTGGGGCTCCTGAGCCTAGCCTTGAGGGAGGTGGAAAATCTATCTGTTGGCCCCTGGGCCCAGCGGGAACCACAAGGGTCCTCTTGAACCAGGAACTCCCCTTTCCAGAGGGCGGGGGAGGCTGGAGGCTGGAGGCTGGCTCCTGGAGACAAAGTCCATGCTCCCCACTAGCTCCTGTGTGATTGGATTGACCCAAGCCCCTTCCCTTCTCACTGGACACCACCTGGTCTCCACCTCAGGGCCTTTGCCCATGCTTGGCTCTCTGCCTGGAGTCTTCTCTCCCTGCTTTTCTTGTCACTTGGGTGATGCTCAAGAGTCACTTCCCTGGGGCCCTCCCTTGACATCCATCCAGCAGAAGAGACTCCCCCTCCCCCATCCTGCAGAGTCACCCTCTTTCCTTATGCAAGTCAGTCTGTTTTTATCTTGTGCCTTGACTCCGATCACCTGCCCTCCTCTAGAAGGGGAGCTATGTGACGGCAGGCCTGCCAGCCTTGCTATGTGCCCAACACCCAGTCAGGGCCTGGTGTTCAGAGGACACAGAGCTGGCCGCTGGTGGGGGGAGGTCAGGCAGGCAGTTCCTGCCCCACCCCTCCAAGGAGAATGGGCCCTCAGCATGAGGGCTGGGAAGGTAACTGCCCACCGAGAGATGAAGTTGACATTTCTTCCTCCTACGGCCCATCCCGCTGACCACTCCATGGCCACTGTTTTCAGATCCAGGATGCCAGGAACCATGTAAGCCAAGCCATTTACCTCCTTGCCAACCGGGATGAAAGCTACCAGTTCAGGACGGGAGCAGAGGTCCTCAAGGTGAGCTGCCAGAAGGGACAGGAGAACCAGGTTCCCCGCCCTGACCTGACCCTGACCAGGCCCCTGGTGAGCTCTGCCCCCACATCCTCAGGCGCAGCTGATGCACCACCCATCACCTCTCAGTGTACACATATCTTTCCAGCTGCAGTCAAATGATTCACATCCCAGATTCCAGTCTCAGATCCAGGTTCTGATCCCAGAGCCTCCTCTGTCAGCTGTGCAGCCTCAGATCACTTTCTTAGCCATTCTGTGCCTCAGTAGCCTCACCTGTAGAGGGGGTACTCGTGGTAGTGACTACCAGTTGTGATAATGCAGGTAAAATAGCCCCTGACAAATGCTTAGGCAATAGTAGCCACTAGTAGTCGTAGGGCTAGCAGTAGAGGAACCCTTATAATTAGCCAAGGGACTTCACATGGTTTGCAGGGACCAGCTGAGCTCATGCTTAAGCCCTGTCCCTGATTTGCTGTGTGTCTTCAGGTGATTCACCTTCCCTCTTTGAACCTCTGGGCCCTCATGTGAAAACTTAGAACTAGATGGACTAAGGTCCCTCCCAGAGCTGTGACCACCCTGGGGAAAGGGGATGCAGTCCCCATGCTTCCACCCAACATATGCCTTTCTGGGAGCCAGGTCACCCCCATGCCCATGGCAATAGCTGGAAGCAGTGGAAGCTGGGGCTCCGAGGAGTTCAAGCCAGAGTTTTAGTTGTGGCAAAGGAAAAAGATGAGTTCCAGATGGTTCCACCATTCACTAGCTATGTGACCTTAGCACCTTGGAGCTTTCCTTCCTCACCTGTGAAAATGAGACTGGTGCCCCAGGTGAAGACTGGAACTTATCCATGCCATCACCCTCCCTGGCTCCTTGTACCCACGCAAGCTTCTAAGTTCCTTGATTGCCTGCACCCCCATCCACAAAGCCCTCATGCCCCTGGCCTGACCCTCAGGATCTCCCATCTTCCATTCCCCACTCGACCAGCACCCAGGATCCCATGCAATAGAACCTGCCAGACAGGTGGTCAACAGTGCAGACATCCTGCCCCCCACCCACATCTGGAACCCCAGAACCTGCACCTTTAACCCCACACAGCTGGGGTTCAGGCCTGGAGACCGCGAGCACCCAGGGCAGGAGCTGGGAGCTACTGTGACTTTGTCACGCTCTGATGCGGGAAGGGGGGGGGGGCTGCCCTCACAGCAGCTATGACCAGCCCTTCCCCACAGCTGATGGACGCTGTGATGCTGCAGCTGACCAGAGCCCGCAACCGGCTCACCACCCCGGCCACCCTTACTCTGCCTGAGATTGCTGCCAGTGGCCTCACGGTCAGTGCCTTAGTCCAGCCCCTGCCCCAGGAGAGGGAATCCCCACTGGGAGGGACGTGCATGTGAAGGGGTGCTGGAAACCCCAAATTGTTGTCCAAGTTTTCTGTCTATGCACAGTATTCTGGGATAAAATCCTTAGCTTCCATCCTGCATCTCCCAAATGCCCTTAGTCTGGGTCAGTGCTTCTCAAGCCTGGTGCAGAAAGCTACCCGGGGCACCTCAGAGGAGCCTAGAAGCTCCGGTCCATGGGTTGGGGAATGGGGTTCCCCGGTGGTTCTGGGAGTTCTGTGCCATGCAGCCCTCATCCTGTCTGCTTGCCCGGTCCTCCTCCCCAGCGGATGTTTGCACCTGCCCTGCCCTCCGACCTGCTAGTCAACGTCTACATCAACCTCAACAAGCTCTGTCTCACCGTGTACCAGCTGCACGCCCTGCAGCCCAACTCCACCAAGGTGAGAGACCCTCCCCACCCCTCCCCCACCCCCAGTGCCTGGCAGCCTCCAGGGCTGACTCCAGGGCTGGTCCTCTTCTTGCGTAGAACTTCCGCCCAGCCGGAGGCGCCGTGCTCCACAGCCCTGGGGCCATGTTGTAAGTGTGCTGCCCTGGAGCCACCTGCCCACCCCAACCCTCTGCACCTTGGGGGCCGGGGGTCAGGCTGGTCAGCACCACCCCCAGGGACCCTCCCCTCTCCCCACAGCGAGTGGGGCTCCCAGCGTCTGGAGGTGAGCCACGTGCACAAGGTGGAGTGTGTGATCCCCTGGCTCAATGATGCCCTGGTCTTCTTCACGGTCTCCCTGCAGCTCTGCCAGCAGCTCAAGGATAAGGTGGGGCGTGGGGACTGTGGGGTCGGCCTGGCCTCCCTGTCAGACAGATTGGGCCAGTCGGGTAGCAGGCTGCTAAGCCTTTTCATTTTGGGGGGATTCCAAGGGCTCTTGTCACACCTCCGAAGCAACCCCAAATCTCCACTGTATCCACACACACCCAGCAGTTGGGCCACAGAGTTGCTGAGCAACAGTACCCTCTCCCTGACAATTTGCCCTTGGATGACCTTGAAATCTCACCTGGGTCACAGGGTAGAGCAGGGGAGGCCCCCCAGCACCAGCACTCACCATGCCCCCTGCCCACCTCTCTCCTCCAGATCTCCGTGTTCTCCAGCTACTGGAGCTACAGGCCTTTCTGAACAGAACCCCCAGGAGCCTGTCCGCCTGGGACATGTCCCTTGTCCCCCTCACCTATCCCCCCAGGAGCGTCGGCCAGAGCTGGGCAGCGTGGGCTGTTTATTTTCCTCTTCACCCCATTCTGTCCATCATATTTGCACAGATGTAAATGAACACTGGGACCATTGAAATAGGGGACACTGGCTTGCTTTTCATTTTGTGGAGGAAGGTGGTCAGGAAGGTGGAGCTGAGATGTGGCCCACATTCCAAACCCTCCTTCCCTATGGGGCAGAGACCTTTGGACTCTGGGTGGGGTCAAGCCCGGGGCTCTCCTTCCGCCTCCTTTTCCTGCCTTCTGAGCTGCCCCGGGATGGTGAAGGGTAGCTGCACGCTCCCCCTCCATGGAAGGTGAGGAGTGAGTTAGGAGAGCGGACAGAAGCTGTGAGCTGTAGTGCCCTGGAATGTGTTTGCTTGGCATCCCTGACAAGGCCTCTAGGAAATAAAGATCATCAGACTTTACCTGGAGTGTCTGTCTGTCTGTCTGTCTGGGTGAGGACCAGGCTGGGGATCCTGGACAGTCAGGACCTGAGTGGGGTGCCCAGTGACTGAGCCCCTGGCCTCCCATGCCACCTTTGAGGGGGTCCTGCAGGCTGCCAAGGGGCTGAGTGGGATGGGAACAAGGGTTCTGCCTGGGGGCCCGGGTCCCTGAGTTGGGCCCCAGCTTCCCCTCCATGGGCAGTTGCTGGTGACCTGAAGCAAGTTACTTAGGGTCTGGTGACAGTCGTGCCGGCCGAAAGCGGTGAGCGACCAGATGGGCATCTGGATAAAGCAGTGAGTGCCCACACTGCCCACCCCTTAACAGGAGGCTCAGAACACACTCCAGACTCAGGTTCTGGGCAAACGAGGCATTGTTACTGTTGCCCAGCAGGACACACAGGCCGGGGGGGGGGTGCTCCCCGTGTTAAGGTTCCAGGGCCAAGTTATCCACGCCCTTGCGGTGTTCCTGCAAGAGAGACACAGGGAATCGTCTGGGCTTCACTCGCGTGTCCCCGGCCTGCCCCCTTTCCACAGGAGGCCCAGCCCCCTCCTCTCCCCAGTGCCCTTCCAGGCTGCCCCTCCTCGCACCTGCCCGGGCCAGGAGGCCAGGGGGGCTCACCTGCTCAGGGCTCACCTTCTGGGACCTGGGGGCGCGGCGGCCGCAGCAGCTGTAGCAGCAGCAGTGGATGCCAACAAGCAGCAGCAGCAGCAACACGGTGCCTGGGGGCGGGACGGGTGTCCAGAGAGGGCCCTCACCGGGGCCATGTCAGGGCCAGGAGGCTGGGGGGTGGGGGCGGAAGCCAAGGCCACACTCACCGAGGAAGATGAGGAAGATGATGAAGGCAGCAGTGTCCCACTGGGACTGGAACAGCTGACGGCTCCTCAGTTTCCCTAGCACTTCCTGGGCTGTGGCCTCCAGCTCCTTCTCCAGGTCCTCTGCCAAGGCCATCTCAGCTCCAGCCTTCTAGGTGCCACCTGCCCCGGCCCCCCAGGGGACTGCCTCAGAACCCAGCCAGACCTCCCACAGCCCAGCCCCTGCCCCCTCCCACACCAGCACCCCCCAACCCCTGCCTGGCCCCCTCCCACTTCCCCCAGCAGCCCCACACCCAGACCCCCACCAGTCTCTAAGCTCCCCCAGCCAGGCAGGTACCAGGTCCTGAGAACACAGACTACTTCCTGCTTCCGGATCCGACACCCGTGACAGCTGCCACCTGAGGCCTTGGCGCCTTGGCAACCAGCCCCACCCTTCCTAGGGGCGGCCAGGCTCCAGAGGGTGGGGCCTTTGCCCTAACAGGTGTGCTTACAGCCTCCCAATAGAAGCAGGTGCTGCGGGACCCAGGGAGGGAGCCACAGGCCTGTAAGCCTCTTCATTAGGGGATTTTTTGCTTTTTCTCAACAGACCAGACAGGCAGCCTGGAACACGGTATGCACTGGGCCTCTGTTGACTTGAGTGAAGAGAGACAGAGAGGAGGGAGGGACGGGGAGGGAAAAGTGGTTTCCATTCCACCTCCCCCGGGGCAGATGGCATGTGCCCACACTATACTTGGAGCCTTCGGGGTCCTTCTCTATTCTAATCCTCAGGATAATCCTTACAAGGAGATGGTTATCCTCTCTCGAAAGAGAAGCAAGTTACTTCCTCTCCTGGAACGTGGGGCCTGGGGTCCCCCCCTCGCCAGAAAGGCAGCTCTCACTCTCCCTTCTTTCAGCACAGACGTGTCCAGGTCCACCAGGGGCCAGACACCGCTCAGCACTTGAAGTTGGCCGTGAACCAAGTAAACCAACAATTTCTTAATTCTTGTGGTGTTTGTGGTCTAGCAGGGGAGAACATGTCAGCTAATGTTAGGCTCCGCACCTAACACTATGTGTGCATTAGCTGATTTGTCCTCAGGGCAAGCCTCAACTGGCGATCACTGTTCTTTCCACTCACAGTATGAAAGGTGTGGCCTTGAGAAGCTTAGCAGCCGGCTCAAGTCGCACGCTTACGGTACCCCTTCTCTGTCGCTGAGGTGACATACGAGCACACACTTCGTGGCTTCAAACAATACGGATTTATTGTCTTACGGTTCTGGAGGTCGGAATCTAAAACGGGTCGGCCATCTTCCGAAGGTTCTAGGGGCAATCCGTTCCTTGCCTTTTTTTTCTAGTGGCCACACACACTCCATTCATTGTTCATGCCAGTCTCTGCCTCCATCCCCATGTCTTCTCTGGCCCTGACCCTCCTGATCTCTCTATTACAAAGCCTCCTGTGATTACATTGGCCCACAGGATACTCTCGCCATCAAAATCCTCAGTCACATCTGCAAAGTCCCTTTTGCTGAGTAAGTTAACATAGTCACTCGAAGGTCCAAGGATTAGGATACAAACATCTCTGGGAGCCGTGATTCTGCCAGTCATAACCAGAGTGAGCAGAGAAGCCAGAACTGGGACCCAGGCATTCAGACCCTAGAGGCCTTCATCACCATATTAGAGGGCCCCCTGCCTTGGGTCCCCTTCTTCCACCCTCCCTTCCCTCCGTCCTCTCCCAGATCTCAGATCCCTGCTGCAGGGCAGGGGAGTTTTGAAATAACTAGAGTATTACTGCAGGAGGAAAGGAGAAAGATGCAGCCACTGTGGAAAACAGTCAGGTAGGTCCTCAAAAACTTACGCATGGTGAGGCGCCTGGGTGGCTTGGTCGGTTGAGCATCCGACTCTTGATTTCGGCCCAGGTCATGATCTCACAGTTCGTGAATTTGAGCCCCACATTGGTGGGGCATGGATCCCTCTTGGGATTCTCTGTCTCCCTCTCTCTCTGCCCCTCCCCCTATCATGAGCTGGCTCTCTCTCTCTCTCTCTCTCTCAAAAATAAATAAATATTTTAAAAAGTTACACATGGTGATAGCATATGGCCCAGCAATTCCGCTCCCAGGTATAGATAGACCCAAGAAAATTGAAAAGTTCTCGAAGGCTTGTACACAACTGTTCACAGCAGCACCAGTCGAAAGAGCCAAAATGTGGAAACAGCCCAAGCGCCTGTCAACTGATGAATGGATGACCATCACCGTGTGATCTGTCCATACACTGGGATGTCCTCCAGCTTCACAAAAGGAGGAAGCAGTGACACCTGCTACGACCCAGATGAACCTCCGAAACATGAATGAAGGAGACCAGACGCAAAATACCACATGGTGTGTAGATCTGTTTCTGTGAAATGCCCAGAAGAGTCAAATCCATAGAGACAGGAAGTAGTGAGTGGTTGCCAGGGGCTGAGAGGTGGGGGGGGTGGGAGGGGAGTGAGTACTTAGTGGTGATGGGATTTCCTTTGGGGTGTGAACAAGTCTTGGAACAGGATGAGGTGGTGGTTTTGCAGCACTGTGGGTGTACTAAATTCTCATCTGCCACTTACCTGTTCTCTTTAGAATGGATAATGGTTAATTTTGTGCAAATTAATTTATGCAAATTTTACCTAAAATTTATGTATTTATTGTCTATTATATATATACATATAAATAAATACATAAATATTTTTATGTATACACATATAAATTTTTTTAAGTAGGCTCTATGCCCAACATGACTCATGTTGACTCACAGCCCCGAGATCAGGAGTCACATGCTCTACCGACTGAGCCAGCCAGATGCCCCTTTACCATAATTTTATTTTTTTTTAATGTTTTTATTTATTTCTGAGAGGGAGAGAGACAGTGTGAGCAGGGGAGGGTCAGAGAGAGGGAGACACAGAATCCAAAACAGTCTCCAGGCTCTGAGCTGTCAGCACAGAGCCCGACGCGGGGCTCGAACCCACGAACTGTGAGATCATGTCATGAGCCGAAGTTGAACGCTTAACCGACTTAAGCATCCAACTCTTGGTTTCAGCTCAAGTCATGATTTCATAGTTCATGAGTTTGAGCCCCACATCGGGCTCCACGCTGACAGTGCAGAGCCTGCTTGAGATTATATCTTGCTCACTCTCTGCCCCTCTCCTGCTCATGCTCTCTCTCTAAATAAATAAGTAAATAAACTTAAAATAATAATAATAATAAAGTAAGACTTTCTAATGGCAATGTGGGGGGTTGCTCCTTATTAAAGAAAATCTGGGAAATTCCAACTTGTTAAAAGACAAAACCCAGAGCACCTGGGTGGCTCAGTGAGTTAAGCATCCAACACTTGCCTTCTGCTCAGGTCATGATCTCTCGGTTTGTGGGATCAAACTTCATCAGGCTCTGCGCTGGCAGTGTGGAACCTGCTTGGGATTCTCTCTCTGCCCCTCTCCCACTCGTTCTCTCTCTCTCTTTTAAAATAGATGAACTTAAAAAAAAAAAAAGGCAAAAACTACAGTTAGAGCCCTAGAGCTGAGCAATGATGGGGAGGCCATGGTAGGGTGTGTTTCAGGTAGGTCAGACCCACCCAGATGTAGATCCTGCTCCCAGCCCTTAACACCCACCAGTGCACAGCCTTGGGGCACAATCCTTGACCTTCTCTGCCTCAGTTTCCTCTTCTGTAAAATAGGTTTATAAATAGCATCCTTCTTCTCTAGTTAGATTGAATGGAATGATCCACATAAACACTTCCTTAGCACAATGAGGTGTTCTAGAAACAGACACTAAATGGCCACGTATTACTCACCCAACTTGTGGGTGTAATTCCCTTCAGTCTTCTGTTCTTTGTACACACCTGGGTTCATCTGCTATCTTCACACTGCTCAGATCACTTCACCCTGGGCTTTTCCCAATCACCACAGCCAAGAGCGCCTTGCAAGTGACCACTGCTTTCTGCAAGCGTGGTCATGACCCTGGCATCCTAGTGACCACCCACTGAGACTGGCTTTTTTTTTTTTTTTTCTTTTAACTCCCTCAGTTGTTCAGAAGCCTACTGTCACTCACAAGTGATTGCCACCAAGAGGCTTATCTCCTTAAGGGCATTTCCATAGTCAGAATCCTCCGCTCACGTTAAGTCCACAGGCCACCAATACTGTTTGGTCATCCATATGTAAGGTGCCCATTCACTTTGATGAGGAGGCCAGCCTCCCATATCCCTTGAGAGCTGTGGACTTGTATCTTGAGAGATTTCTCTGTTGGGAATGGACCGTGTTCCAGGGCAGACTCTGCCCGGCCCCACCCCCAGCCTCAAACCTTGAAGGTGAAGTTTAAGGTCTGTCATGAGATGTGTAGAAGGCAGGGAAGCACAAGGGACAGAAAGGCAGAGGGGGGCAGAAGGGTATTTGGGGCTCAGGACAGTTGAGGTGAGTGGACCGGGGAAGACTTGGTGAGTCGCAGTGGGCAAAGCAGGGTCCACAAACCACCTCCTGCTTTTCTAAATAGTTTTGCCTACACACAGCCACACCCTTCACCTATCTGTGGCTGCTCTCACACTACAACAGCAGCCCTGAAGAGATCTATTGTACTAGAGATATTATGACCCACAAAGCTCAAAATAGCTCTTTACTATCTGGGCTTTCAGAGAAAATGTTCACCGTCATCTGAGACGGAGGACTGCTTATGTGCCAGGAAACAGGTGAGAAAGAACTGAGTGAGATGGACTTGTGTGAGAAGCATCGTGTCACGGACAATCAGGGAGGGGTGAGGACTATGGCAAACTGGAGAACTCACAGCCCAGCTAAAGGGGGCAGCTCATCAGCCCTCAGAATTGCCAGGGCTTCCAGTGTCTAAGACACACCGGAAATCTAGATGTTCCCGTGAACAAGAAAAGCGTTAGAGGGTGAGCACGCAGACTCAGATCCCAGCCCGCCACTTCCTCCCTAGGTGACCTTGCACAACTGGTTCGGACCCTCTTTAAACTGGAGCGAATAACAGCAGTAACTTGATAGCTGGGATGATTATTAAACAAGCTACCGTCCTGGGGTCCCCAGAACAATGTTATGCACAGACTAAGTGTGGGGTAAATATTTCCTAAATCAATCTTTAGATTTTTCAATGCCGGCGACTGAAAACTCTGTGGCCCCCGCAGTGGACAGACCAAAGGAAACACATGGATGCTCTGCTTCCCGGCTACAGGTCACGGGTTTGCTTTCGCTAAGCAATTATGAGTTGGAAGTCAGAGGGACTGGCTAAAGCCCACTTAGCCCAGTTAGGTGACCTCGGGCAAGGGAGCTGCCCAGAGGCCCTGGGTCCCTGTCTGTAGCACCACGCCAAGGTCACTGTAAGGAGTTAGCGTAGGTCCCAAAAGCACACTGGAAGCGCTTACCTACCCCTGCCCTCAGCGCCCCCCTGCAGTAGAGGAGGCCTGCCCCTGCCCCTCCCCCTGCCTAAAGTCAGGGGTGGTGCGGGGGCTCAGATTCTTCAGTTAACTGTCGCCCTGTCCCTCCCCCTCACTACACACACCGGAGTCTGCTAGGACAGGGCAGCCCCCTGAAGCTCCCTCAGAGACCCAGGCCATCAGGTGCCGCACAAAGCTGCTTCTCTCTTTCTCTCTGTCCCCAAGGGTCCAGACCCTGGGCTTTGCCAGGCTGGCCACATTCTTCTGCGGGGAGCTTCTGAGCAAGGATACTCCCTGGGCCATGGCTGGGGGGGGGGGAGGGAGGAAATGGTTTGGGGAGGAACAGGTTACTGGGCTGGTGCACCTCAGGGCGGGGACTTCAGGTACTTCACTGAAAAGCCCTTGGGCCCTGGAGACTTGGGGGACAGGGATATCAAGGCATGTAATGTGTGGGAGTGCCTGGCACCAGAGCTCAGGACCTGGGGTCCAGAAATGAGAACTCAAGAGGGTCCCTCCTCTTCCCCCCCCCCCACCCGGATGACAGACATTGCTGTGCCCTTGGCCTCATGGACCCCCTGAGGCGGTCCCCCTCCCCCTGCTCATCAAGACCCTCCAGCCCCAGGACCCCACCCTGCGAGATGCTTGGTTACGTGGGCATTGAGGCCGTGCTGGACCAACTGAAGATCAAGGCCATGAAGATGGGGTTTGAGTTCAACATCATGGTGGTGGGTGAGTGAGGGGCAGGGGCGCTCACGAGGAGGACAGACCAGAGGATGCAACCTCGTGGGCCTGGGCAGTTACTTCACCTCTCTGAGCCTCAGTGTCAACAGCGGTTCTGATAATAGTCCCTCGTCAGGTGTCGTAGTTGAAAATCTGGAAACACTGAGGCGTTAGACAAAATCACCCGTGAAGCCCTAGCCAAACCCAAAGAGAGCAGTAAAACGGGAGGCCATGGAAGGAAGTGGTGAGCACCCAGATCCTGATCCTAGCCCTTAACACCTACCAATGTGTGGCCTTGAGCACAGTCCTTGACCCCTCTCTGCCTCAGTTTCCTCACTGGGCTTAGCACAGTGCCTGGCATTCAGGAGTTTCTCTGGAATTGCATTTTGATTTTTCAAAATTGATTGTGTAGGTCAAAACTACACTTTTAACAAAATAAACTAGATACAGCAGAATACAAAATGTCAGAGTGTGCAGCACCAGTTAAGGGCATTATTCCAAGGAAGTGCTGTCCAATGGAAGTATAATGTGAGCCACTTGACGTCATTTAAAAAATCCCCAATAGCCACCTTTAAAAAAGGGAAGAGAAACAGGAGACATTAATTTTAACCATTTTATGTTACTTAACTCCGTATATTTCAAAATACTATCTTGAATGACCTATAATCCACACAAAAAAATTATCCATGAGAACTTTTGCATTCTTGGGGCACCTGGGTGGCACAGTCGGTTAAGTGTCTGATTCTTTTTTTTTTTTTAATGTTTTTTATTTATTTCTGAGAGACAGAGAGAGAGACAGACAGACAGACAGCGTGAGCAGGGAAGGATCAGAGAGAGAGGGAGACACAGAATCCACAAGAGGCTCCAGGCTCTGAACCAGCTGTCAACACAGAGCCCGATATGGGGCTCAAACCCACAAACCATGAGATCATGACCTGAGCCGAAGTTGGACGCTCAACCGACTGAGCCACCCAGGTGCCCCAAGCGTCTGACTCTTGATCTTAGCTCATTTCATGATCTCACAGTTTGTGAGTTTGAGTCCCAAGTTGGGTTCGGAGCCTGCTTGGGACTGTCTCTCCTTCTCTCTGCCCCTCCCCTACTTGTGTGCACTCTCTTTCTCTCTCAAAGTAAATAAACTTAAAAAAAAATTTTTTTAAAGAACTTTTGCATTCTTTTTGGCACACCAAGTCTGCAAAATCTGGTTTGTATTTTCCACTGATGGCACACCTCAATTCATATTTTCCATGTCACCCATGGCAGGAGCCAGTGGGACTCCCATACTGGACAGCACAGCCCTTCGGACAATTTCAGTTAAACACAAAAAGGTGTGTCTTGCGTTATGATGTAGGGTGTTCCCTCCTGCAAGATGTGGTCCACGGAGTTCGAGAAGCCCCCACAGCAGGATAAATGGACCCTCTACAACCACAGACAGTTTGGGTCAATCTCACCAAGTAGTGTCAAGCAGATGAAGCCCGACACGAGAGACCATGTGCTGGGGGCTCCCTAAGTCAAGGGTGGGCAGAGCTTCTCCCTGCTGACGGAAGTCCGGAGAATGGCTGTCCCTGGAGTATTGGGTTAATAGTTCCTGAGATGGGCATGATTGGGCTCGTGGGGAGCTGTGTTCCATCTCTGGATCTAGTGCTGTGTACATGGGCCGCTTACTTTGCAAAATGTGTTGAACTGCCCATCAGCATGAATGGATGAACACCATGTGATCTGTCCATACAATGGGACATTATTCGGCCATGAAAAAGAATGAAGTCTTGACACCTGGTAGGACTTAGATGAACCTTGAAAACATTATGCTTAGTGGAAGCAACCAGGCATGAAAGGACAAATATTGCACAATTCCATTTCTTAAAAAGAATTTTTTTTATAAATAGTTTATTGTCAGGTTGGTTTCCATATAACACCCAGTGCTCATCCCCACAAGTGCCCTCCTCCATGCCCATCACCCCCCTTCCCCACTCCCCCACCCCCATCAGCCCTCAGTTTGTTCTCAGCATTCAAGAGTCTCTCATGGTTTGCCTCCCTCCCTCTCCCCCACTATTTTTCCCCTTCTTCTCCCCCAGGGTCCTCCGTTAAGTTCCTCCTAATCCTCCTATACGTGCAAACGTATGGTTTCTGTCCTTCTCTGCCTGACTTATTTCGCTCAGCATAACACCCTCAAGGTCCATCCATGTTGCTACACATGGCCAGATTTCATTCTTTCTCATTGCCATGTAGTATTCCATCATATAGATAAACTTAAAAAGATTTTTTTAATGTATATTCATTTCTGAGAGAGAGACACAGAACATGACCAGGGAAGAGGCAAAGAGAGGGAATCTGAAGCAGTTTCCAAGCTCCACTCTGTCGGCGCAGAGCCCAGCAAGGGGCTTGAACTCACACACCGTGAGATCATGACCAGAGCCAAAGTCAGACGCTTAACCAACTGAGCCACCCAGGGGCCCCATGCATGATTCCATTTCTGTGAAATGTCTAGAGTAGGCAAATCCACAGAGACACAAAAAGCAGATTAGCAGTTGTCAGAGGTGATGGAGGAGGGAGAATGGGGAGGGATTGCTAATGAGTGTGAGGTTTCTTTTGGGGCCAATGGGCATGTCTTTCAAGGGTTAAAAAAGTTCAGGCAAGCACATTTGGAGATCTAATTGCCTTTATGACAGGATTCATGAATCGGGCAGCAGGTAAGAGGTGACCTCCAAGGAGCTGTGCAGAATGGGAAGATTCTATAGGAAGGAGGGGGTGAGCAAAGAAGTCATTAGCAAAAGGAAAGGGTCGCTTTCCCTTAGAGGACAGGCAGAGGGTCTCAGGTGAATGACCTCATCTTCCTTTGGGGGGTAGTGAGGGCCCATGTCACATGATCTCACTGGTGCTGACCAGGAGATCCCTGACCACTTTAGTTTACGTTTCTGGCGGCGGTGGGGGGGGGGGGGCTGCAGTTAAGTTAGGTACTAAGCACCTGTTTGGAGACTTGGCCTAAGTGATGCCATTTTGCGCCTGTGGATTTCTTTCTAATAGGATCTAGAAAGAGTTTGTGGGTGCACAGCACTGTGCATGTACTAAATGCCTCTGAATTGTTCACTTTAAATGGTTAATGATTAATTTTTGAATTGTATGAATTTGCCGCAATAAAAAGGGGGGGGGTAAACACTGAGGGAGGACACTGGGTGATAGTACCTGCCTTTCTGTACTTATGTTATGCTTAGAAAACAGTTCACTGTCTAAAACTACTTAACAGCCTGGGAGGCATTGCCTAAAATGTCCACGCCTGTGGCTGTCCTCTTGTTACCCCCAGGGCAGAGCGGGCTGGGCAAGTCCACAATGGTGAACACCCTTTTCAAGTCCAAGGTGTGGAGGTGCACTATACCAGGCCTGGGGATGCCCACACCCCAGACGCTGCAGCTGATGTCAGTGACCCACGGTGAGTGGTCCCCCACCCCCGCCCCCACGTCACCCTACCGCAGGCCACCCCACCCAGGCCAATCCCTCCCCCACTCTCTCCCCACAGTCATCGAGGAGAAGGGTGTGAAGCTCAAGCTGACGGTGACAGACACGCCTGGCTTCGGAGACCAGATCAACAATGACAAATGGTGGGGCCTTGGGAGTGGGGGCTGAGTGCTGGTTGCCCCTCTCCCTGCTCCTGCCCCCCCCCCCGCCCCTGGGAAACATCCCAGCCCTGAAACGACCTGGCTGTGGCATCTTCCAGCCTTAGCTTATTCATCTGTATAATGGGTGTATGCAACCATCCCTCCAAGCTTGAAGGGAGTTAAGTATATAAAGGTCAGGGCTTGCTGCCTGGCACACAGTAAGTCCTCAGTCAAGGTTATGATACAGCAGAAGTTAGAAGTCCACACTACAGAGCAGGACCATGGGGTTAGACCACTTTCCAGTTATATAACCTGGGACTGGTCTGGAAGCACTCTGAGCCTCAGTTTCCTTCTTTGTAACTTGAGGGTGATGACACCCACCTTGCAGATTTGTTCTAGGCTCTCAGTGAGAGCCAAAACTGTAACAGTGGCTGGTAACATACATGCACGCACACTCACACACACACACACACACACACAGTCAGGACTGGATGCATAATTTGTGGGACCCAATGACATGCAAACGTGGGACCTCTTGTTCAAAAAGTATTAAGAATCGTGAAGCCTCGACCACAGAACATTGAACGAAGCACATTGAATGGAGCTCTGCGGGACTGCCCTGTTTGTGCTCGCGTGAAGCCAGCCCTGCACACAATGCTTCACTGAGCTCTTACTTTGTGCCAGCCCTGTTCTAGACACGGGGATACGGCAGTGAACAAAACAGATGGACATCTTTGTCTATGTGAAATTTACGTTGTCGTGGGGGGCCCTGGGCAATGAACACAACAAATCAGTTATACATAGGGTGAGCCTAAACTCTATCATCCAAGCAGGACATTTCTGAGAGTGGAAAGGGTAGGGAGCTGTAGGGAGACTGCAGTTTTAAGCAGTGATCTTGAAAGACCTTCCTGGATAAGATGACACTTGGGCTGACTTCCAGGATATGAGAAAATGAGTCTTGTGGACATGCAGGGGAAGAATGTTCAAAGTAGATAGTGGCGTGTGCAAAGGCCCTGCGGTGGGCAGACTGGCATGTTCGCGGAAGGCTGGTGTGGCTGGAGGCGTGCGCGTGGCAGGGAGAGAAGAGGAGGAGAGGGGAGAGGGCAGGCACGAAGCAGCAGTGGGATGGCGTAGGGCCTGGTAGGGTGGCGTAAGGACTTGGGCCTTTCTGTGGCCCCTGTGGGCAGGCTAAACAGAGCAGGGGAGGGTCAGAGAGAGGGAGACACAGAATCCGAAGCAGGCTCCAGGCTCTGAGCTGTCAGCACAGAGCCCAACGTGGGGCTCGAACCCACGAGCCGTGAGATCATGACCTGAGCCGAAGTCGGACACTCAACCGACTGAGCCACCCAGGCGCCCCTGACTCCTGTTTTTAAAAGGATCTTTAAAAAAAAAAAGGGTGGGGGATCTTCCCGGCTGCTGTGTTGACTATGGCCCAGCAGGGGAAGGGACCCAGAGAGAGGACTCAGGAGATCCTTGGGGGAATGGAACAAGTGCCCACGGTAGTTGGAACCAAGCTGTGGTGATTTATCTCTCTTAATACCACGCCCCAGCAAAGTAGGTGCTCTTATTATCCCTGTTTTATGAATGAGGAAGTTGAGGCCTCAGCTTAAGAATGGCAGGGGTCTCTCTGGTGATTCAAGGGAGTGGGGGAAGGGTGCTCAGGTAACCATGGGCCTCAGATTGTATGGGACCAAAGGTCCCGTGTCCTGGGCTAACTGGGGCGACTGGTCTTCCTAAGCGGAGACCACCCAGAGGACCTGGGGAGACGGGGTGGGGCTCACAGGGGCAGCTCTGAGTGGGGTCCGTCTGCCGCCCCAGCTGGGACCCCATCCTAGGCTACATCAATGAGCAGTATGAGCGGTACCTGCAGGAGGAAATCCTCATCACCCGCCAGCGCCACATCCCTGACACCCGGGTGCACTGCTGTGTGTACTTCATACCGCCTACTGGGCACTGGTAAGTGGCTGAGCCAGCTAGGGGAGGGCCCCCACCTGGGGCGGAGGGGAAGAGGAGGAGGAGAAGGAGACCTTGGCCTGGGCTGCAGGCCGGCACCCCCTCATTCATGCACCGCCCCCGTCTCCACCATTGCTGCCCCACCCGAGCAGCCTGCGGCCTCTGGACATTGAGTTCCTACAGCGGCTGTGCCGGACTGTGAACGTGGTGCCTGTGATTGCCCGGGCCGACAGCTTGACCCTTGAGGAGCGAGAGGCCTTCAGGCGCAGGGTGATCTGGGTGCCCAGGGCGATGGGGTCGGTGGGGGCAAGGAGGAGGCCAAGTGCACAGGATGAGATGAGGTCACCTGCGTCCCCAGATCCAGCAAAACCTGAGGACTCACTGCATTGAGGTGTACCCACAGAAATGCTTTGATGAGGACATCAACGACAGGATCCTCAACAGCAAGATCCGGGTAGGAGGCCATGGTGGGGGGTGGGGTGGGCAGGCTGATGTGACCGAGGCTGGGCAATTGGCTTTCCACTCACTCTTTCCGTCTGAAGATTCATCTCTCTGTGCAGCTCGGGGCAAGTTCACATACTTCCAGTAGGCATGGATCTCCATACATACACAAACTCAAACATCCGCAACCTACAGAAATGGGAGGAAAATAAATGATACAGGACTTGTATCCTGAACCTACAAAGAACTCTTACACATCAACAATAAAGGATAAGTCACCTTTAGAAATGGGCAAAGGTTTTGAATAGACATTCCCTCAAAGAATTTGGACAAAAGGCCATTGAGCACACAAAACGATGTTGGTTCAATATCACCAGTCATCAGGGGAATGCAAAGCAAAACCACAAGGAACCACTTCATACCCACGAGGATGGCTGTTTGCAAAATGACAGACAATCCCAAGTGTTGGTGGGAATGTGGAGACGTTGAACTTGCAGCTGAACGCTGCTGGCGGGAGTGTCAAATGGTGCACCCACTTTGAGAAATAGTCTGTCAGTTCCTGAAAAGGTTAAACACTAAGTTACCATGGTACTTGGGAGCAAGCCCCCTCCCAAGAGAAATGAAAACCTATGTTCACATAAAAACAAGTGCACAGATGTTCATGGCAGAGATGTTTGTAATAGCCAAGGAGTGGAAATAATCCACATTGTCTACTAACTTATGAATGGATAAACATGCATGGTCTATCCACACAATGGAATATCCTCCAGGCATAAAAAGGGATGAATGTGGCACGGACACCTGCTACAGCACAGATGAACCTTGAAAACACGAAGCTCAGGGGTACCTGGGGGGCTCAGTAGGTTAAGTGTCTGATTTCGGCTCAGGTCATGATCTCACCATTTGTGAGTTCGAGCCCCCCGTCAGGCTGTGTGCTGACAGCTCAGAGCCTGGAGCCTGCTTCAGATTCTGTGTCTCCCTCTTTCTCTGCCCTCCCTTCTCACACTCTGCCTCTCTGTCAAAAATAAACATGAAAAGAAAAGAGAAGAGAAGAGAAGAGAAAAGACGAAGCTCAGTGAGAGAAGCCAGACACAAGAGAACAATTACGTGATTCCATTATATGAAATGTCCGGTATAGACAAATCCCATACAGACTGAAAGTAGATTAGTGGTTGCCAGGGGCTGGGGGTCAGGGCCAGTGGGGAGTGACCGCTGATGGGTGTGGGGTGTCATTCTGGAGCAGTGAAAATGCCCTGGAATTAGACTGTGGTGATGGCTGCACCATCTTGTGAGCTGTACCTTTCAAAGCGTGAGTTTTATGGTATGTGAATTATATCTCAGTAAAGCTGTTTCAAAAAAGAAGGAAAGACGGAAATAGCTCACTCTTCTTTTTCTCCTAATCAACTGAATTCCAACTCTCAGCCTCTACCTTGCTGTCCTTTTGGTTTGTCCAATGTCAGTCTGTCTGGATCCTGCAAAGGACTCGGGTGAGGACAGGGCTTCATCATGCATTGACCCCAGGCCTCGACTCTCCCTCGGGGACCGTGTTAGCCTGCACAGCACTGCTGTTGCCTAGGTTAGAAGAAAGCCACTCTTCCTTCAGAGACAGGGCCTGTGTGTGACTTCTCAGCCCCACACAGAGTCATGGCCAGTTGACTTTGTGCAGTAAACAAACTGCACATTTGGACATGGAGGCCTGGCTTCCCATCTGGGACCCAATGTCTCCACATTTCCCTCTTTCCCCTCCCCACGGGTGCAATAAACAGGATTTCCTGTGAAGTGTTCAAAGAGCCTTGACCTTCGCCAGCTTCTTTCTGTCCTGGGGCCTGAGAAGGCAGCAGCATGGCCGCAGCTGTACCAGAACTGAAGGTACACGGAGAACATAGTAACTGATCATCTCAGTAAATCATCCAGACACCTAACATTTGCTCCAGGCTGGCCCATAGTAAATGTGCATCGGATATTTATGATTGCCACCGTCGATACTATCCCTCCTCACAAATTAACTCTTGGAAATAAAAGCAAACCCCTAGGTAGCACTTTGGAGTTTAGGAATTTGAGTCTCCGCTTCCAGCCCTGAGCAAGTGAACCACCAGAATTTTCAGCAGGGGCTCAGCAAACTTTTTTGTGAAGGGCCATGTGATGGTAGGTATGTTGGGCCTTGTGGGCCACGCAGTCTCTCTGCAGCCACTCAACTCCTCTGTTGCAGCATACACAACCTAGACAAGAATAAATGAATGCACAGGGCTGTGTGCCAACAGACTTTACGTGGGAAAACAGGCGGGGGCCCGATCCGGCCCAGGTATCATAGGTCGCCAGCCCCGTGGGTTACAAAGTTATGTCATTTAACCCTCATGATAACCGACGAAGGTGATTGCAGGTAATCTCTTACCCAGGTAAGAGATGGGACATCGGCAAGATTTTATTATTATTTTTTTAAATGTTTTTTTTTAATTTATTTCTAGGAGAGAGAGAGACAGACAGACAGAGTGAGCAGGGGAGGGTCAGAGAGAGAGGGAGTCACAGACTCTCAAACAGGCTCCAGGCTCTGAGCTGGCAGTCAGCACAGAGCTCGACGCGGGGCTCGAACCCATGAACCGTGAGATCATGACCTAAGCGAAAGTCGGACGCTTAACCAACTAAGCCACCCAGGCACCCTGGCAAGATTTTACTATTAATGTGACTCCGAGTAACCTTCCCAAACATTCACAAAGCCCTGTTGTATGTGTTCTTTTGACTCCCATTTTGCAGATGACGAAACTGAAGCATTGATCAGACTTTTTTTTCTTTTTGAAAGATTTTATTTTTAAGTAATCTCTCTGGGGCTCGACCTGACCACCATGAGATCACGAGTCACAGGCTCCACCGAGTGAGCCGGCCAGGTGCCCCGTGCCTGCGCTCCTTCTACCACTGTCTCCCCACAAAGGACAATGTGCCTGCCCAGCCCCACCTCCCAGGCAGGGCCAACCCTTTTGTCTCATCTTCTCCCACAGGACCGGATCCCCTTTGCTGTGGTTGGGGCTGACCGAGAACACCTGGTGAACGGGAAGTGTGTCCTGGGCCGGAAGACCAAGTGGGGCATCGTTGAAGGTCAGTGACTCTGCGGAGAACGCAGGTGAAGGTGGGCTGGCACCCTCAGCACCCATCACAGGGCCCAGAGCGGACAAGTCCACAGCCAGAAAGCAGGCACACCCGGAAGTCAAGTCCCTCTTTGCAGCTGGGAGGCCTCAGGCAAGTCACCCGACTCTCTGGGCCTCAGTTTCCTCACAGTAAAATGGGCATCAACCTCATGCATGGCCAGTTGCCTTTGTGCAGTCAGCAAGCTGCACATCTGTACATGGGAGGTGGCTGGACAGAGCAGGCCACCGCTTTGCACAGTGCCCACCACCCAGAAGACACGCTATGCACTCACCAGAATTTGTCGTGGACCTACTATGTGCCAGGCACACTCTATGCCCTTCCTCAGGGGATGCACTGAAAGCAGGACTGACGGGCTTGTGTCCCCGGAGAGCTGACGCGATAATGACAGGTGGGAGAAGGTGGGGCGGGAGGCGAGGCTACCTCAGGGACTGGACGGGGTCCCACTGCCACGGGAGCCTGGGAAGTGAAGGATGAGCTGCCAGGGTCTGTGCCCCCCATTTATCAACAGTATTACTAAAAAAATATAATATATATGGCATCATGTACATAACAGAATGTAGTAATTATTAAGTGGACAATAATAAATGATTAGTGGATTCATTGACTCAAGTATTGGTAGAAGCTGTCTGTACCAGGTGCGGGGGGGGGGTACGAGGGGGTACAGCAATGAATGAATGAGTGAATGAATGAGTGAATGAATGGCAGGTGAGATAAGACCGTGAGAAACGTGGAGGGAAAGGCTGTGGTGGATATCAGGGGTACACAGCATACAGTGGGCGCTTACTCGGTTCTCACCGAAGGCAGGGCAGGTGGGACAGGGCCAGTGCTCGGTGTCATGTCTTACAGTGGAGAACATGGCGCACTGTGAGTTTCCTCTGCTGAGAGACCTGCTCATCCGGTGAGGGTGCAGGGACCCCGGGGGGGGGGGGGCGCTGTGGCCAGCCTGGGCTGAACTGCCCCCCCCCCCGTCTCCCAGCTCCCACCTCCAGGACCTGAAGGACATCACCCACAACGTGCACTACGAGAACTATCGAGTCTGCAGGCTCAACCAGAGCCACGTGCTGCCTCGCGGGCCGGGCTGGGTGAACCTGGCTCCCACTCCCCCAGGCCCGCCTGTCATCTCCGGGCCCTCGAAGGTGTGCCGGCAGGCCCCCGACAACTCTGAAGATGATGAAGACTACTAAGCACGGGGCAGGGGTGGGGCGGGGCACCCGGCAGCCCCCAGCACCCACCTGTGTACAGAGCATGTATTAAAGGTGGACGTCACTTTTTATGAAAAGCTGTGCTTTGAAAACCAAAGGCGATTTGTAAATGACTTCTTTGAGCTGTCCTCCAATAAAAGTATGGTTCTTTTTAAAATAACGGTGTGAGACCCAAGGCCCTCGGGAGTCCTGAAGACCTGGGAGCTCATGCCTTGGACGACCGGCCCCTTCGGCCCCAGAACCAGAGCCATGTTCCCAATTAGGCTCTGCTGTCACTGCCAACCCTCCTCCCTGGCACAGGGTCAGGACCTGCACCATAAACACAAAGTCCCCGTCTTCAGCTCTTGTCCCCAAACTCTGTGCCCCCCCCTCCCGCCCGCCCCTCTGCCCTGCCCTCTCCTCCCATGGGGAGAAGATTGTTGTCTCAGCTCATGCAGGGAGAGGAAATCCAATCTTCCTCCGCCTTTTGGCTCTTTTAGAGCCCTTAGCAGATTGGATGATGCCCCCCAGTATTGGGGATGGTGACCCTCCCCACTCAGTCGCTGAATCAATGCCAATCTCTTCCAAAGACATTCTCCCAGACGCACCCAGACATAATGTTTTGCCAGCAATCTGGCCATCCCTCAGCCCAGTCAAGTTGACACTTAAAAATTTTTTAATGTTTATTGTTGAGAGAGACAGAACGTGAGTGGGGGAGGCGCAGAGAGAGAGGGAGACACAGAATTGGAAGCAGGCTCCAGGCTCCAAGCTGTCAGCACAGAGCCCGACACAGGGCTCGAACTCACAAACGGTGCGATCATGACCTGAGCCTGAGCCACCCAGGCGCCTCTCAGTCAAGATGAGTTAGTTACTTAAAGCTAACCATCACATGAGCTAAAAGTTGCCTCCTACATGATGCCCTCCTTGACTTCCCAAGTGTGGCGTTACTCACTGAACAAAATACTCTGTATGTATCACATGGTTTCTTTTCAGGTCAGTCTCCCTATCGGGCTGGGAGCTCTGTGAGGATGGAGACCTATCAGCTTCATCCTGCACATGACAGGCACTCAGGACCCAGCTGTTAAATGAATGAACCTTAGAGCACCTGCATCACAGCCCTTCATCCCTAAAACTCACAAACCTACCGACCAGGTTTGAGGATCCCCCAGGGCCTGACGGGACCCACACCAACCACACCGACATCTCAGAGACAGTGCGTTGCTCCATAGGGGCCGAGCACATTCCCAAGGTTAATATTATTAGCCCTAGGCAATATGGCAATTTCACAATATACATGTATATCGAATCATTGCGTTGTATACCTTAAACTTGCACAATATAGTCAATTATATCTCAATAAAGCCAGAAGAAAAACAACTGAGGCCATGCTATAATCACCCAGTGTTCATTCTAGGCACTGATCTTTAGGGCCCACTATATGATGCTACAGAGGCTAAGGGCTCAAGAGGGAACGAATCGACTCACTGCCCTCAGGAACCTGCACCCAGGTGGGACAAGATGCAAATAAACAAAATACAGGAGTACAATGTGGGCATGTTGAATTGCAGTGGGTACTCTAGCACCACGAATGGTATTTTTATTTTTATTTTTTTTGCAAGGCTCATCATTTATTAACCAGGTGGAGGAAGTTCTTATTCATGGTAGAGTTCTCCTGGCAAAGACAATTGGAAAATTTGGAGAAAGTCTTTAATTCTTGGTTGGTTGATGACTTTTCCTAGACAATTAAGGAAGATCCTGAAGATGCAGAGATAATACTTTCATATGTGATGATGATGGAAGTCAGGTCACTGCACTTGTCACTAGATGGTGTGGGGACCACGGAAGGGAGGAAGGGAGGATCCTGGAGCCCACGTGAGGAAGCATTCACTCAGCACTGGAGGCCTGGGCCACTTTGCTCTCTTGGGCCTGGAAACAGCGATCAACTTCGGTCAGGTCAATTACATCTTGTTCAGCAATCCCATGTTCTTGGCAATATTTCACAAACTTTTCCTTGAGTTTCGGACTCAGATCTGGGTCTCGGGTATAGAGCTCCATCAGTTGGAATGCTTTCTCCTTGTTGAAATTCACAAGATGAAATGTGACATACTCATTGTAGACTGTTTCAACCATGGTAAATACATTGTATCCATCCTATGCAACACTATGTATACCATCTTTTTCTGTTTTGTTACAAACCAGATTTAAAGGCCAGAGAAGAGTTGTCGGGGACTTGTGTTTGTGAAAAACCCTCACGCTACCATCTTCTTCTATCTTCTCCTTGGCATCTGAAGCCAAGAGAATGGAATACCAGTCTCCTGAGGTTTGTTTATTGTCTGTGCTCCCATCCTGGACCATCAGTTCCACGAACGCTGTGTTCCTAGTGCCTCAAACACTACCAGCTCCACAAAGAAACGAAGAACACCGTCCGACTCTCCAGCATCGTCACCCCCACAAGAATGGTATTTAAGGGGTATAGGAGGACAGTATGGGGTTTACAATTATAAGAAGGGGTCAGAGAGGTCTAGCTGGGAAAGGAAGTTTGAGTAAAGATGTGAAGGAGCAAAGGAAAAGCCATGAAGATATCTAGGGTCCTAGAGCATTCCACATAGAAGAAAAAGAAGCTGCTGCTGGTGCAAAGGCCCTGGGGCAGGAGTATGCTAGGTGTGTTCATGCAATAGCAAGGTGGTCTCTGTGGCTGCGGCAGCATGAACCAGGAGAGACGGTGAGAATGGGGAGAAATAAGAACAGAGAGGTGGTGAAGGGCAGGCCCACAGCCTGTAGAATTTGAGTTGCCCATCATGACTCTGTACGGATACAGACTGATTGCCTAAAGACATTGATGAGAGGAAAACAAGGAGCTATCGAGGGTGCAGCGGAGGGCAGCACGTGGGGCGCGAGGATCTCCATAAAGTACTGAAGACTAGAACCGATGGTTGCCTCCGGGGAGGTCGCTTGCGCTGGAGGTCAAGAACGGGAAGGAGGTCTAATTTTCACTCTGCCTCCTTTCGTACTGGCTTATTAACCAGCGGTGTATAACACCTACTCGGAAAACACTAGTACGTTGATGGTATTAGCTCTTGTCCTTTCCCCGTAATTAACATCTACTGCAGCCAGGGGCTCCAGTGGATGCTGGTGCGATGCTATTAGCCCGGCTCCACCGACCCCTTCCTGGAGGCTCTCCTGCAGCCTCCCTCAGGCTCCAGCCACCTGCTCTCACCCAGCCTGCCCTCGCATGGAAGCCTTCTCTGGCGAGGCAGGGGTGTTCCAGGGAGTGGGGATATTGCACGGAGTGTTGGTTCCTGCTCTCTGAGGATGACTTTACCTCCCCTTCTGGAAGCCTTTGCCATGCCTACAGTGACTCTGCCCCTCCTGTTTGGCACAGGCTCTTAGTCATGTAGCCAGTAAAGGCCCCACACAGATCTCTTCTGTACTTCCTGCCCGACGCCAGCTGGGGGATGGCTGAGGCCTCATCTGACGCATCTTGCAGGTTCCCAGGTGCAGTAAGTGAGGGTTCCAAGCCCAGTTCTGCCCCTTTAATTTCTTTTTAATTATTTTTAAATTTCTTTTAATGTTTACAATTTTTGAGAGACAGAGAGCAAGCAGGGGAGGGTCAGAGAGAGAGGGAGACACAGAATCTAAAGCAGGCTCCAGGCTCTGAGCTGTCAGCACAGAGCCCGACGCAGGGCTCGAACTCACGAACTGTGAGGTCATGACCTGAGCTGTAGTCGGCCGCTGAACTGCTTAACCAATGTGCCACCCAGCCGCCCCACGCTTTGCCCCTTTTAAACTGCATGACCTAAGACAAGTCACCTGACATCCTGGAATAAATTTCCTCATGTGTGAAGTGGGCATAGCAACACCAGCCTCCTCTTTCGGGGTTGTGTGGGGGTAAGTTGTCTTGTTTTGTAGTGTCTGGGGTGGGGCAGGGGCGTTTGCATTGTGTGGTACACCAAGCAGGTTCATGTCATAATGATACAGTCATAATAACAATACGGAGCATTTTTTAATGTTTATTTTTGAAAGAGAGACAGAGCACACAAGTGGGGGAGGCACAGAGGATCTGAGGTGGGACCTGTGCTGACCCCTGTGCTGACCGCACTGAGCCCGCTGTGGGTGGGGCTTGACTCATGAATCTTGAGATCATGACTTGAGCTGAAGTCAGACACTCAACCAACTGAGCCATCCAGGAGCCCAATAGGGAGCATTTTTTATAAGGGGAATCACAAAATCGATGACCTGGTAACTGGTACAATAAAACATCTACCAGATTACATGAAATCTATTCATATTTATTTAAGAATGTATTCATAGTAGCCCCACATTGGAAACTGTTGAGCGGCAGGACAGTGGATAAACTAAGGGGTAGTCATCCAATGAAATGCTTCTTGGCAATAAAAATGAGCCGAATGGGGCACCTGGGTGGCTCAGTCGGTTAAGCGTCCAACTTCAGCTCAGGTTATGATCTCACTGTTCCCAAGTTAGAGCCCATGTCAGGCTCTGTGCTGACAGCTCAGAGCCTGGAGCATTTTTCAGATTCTATGTCTCCCTCTCTGTCTCTGCCCCTCCCCCACTCGTGTTCTGTTTCTCTCTTGAAAATGCATAAACATTTTAAAAAATTAAAAAATAAAGAATTTAAATAATGAGCCAATTACTTGTACATGCAACAGCATGAAGGAATCTCACAGACATAATGATGTGTGCAAGAAGCCAGACACCGGGGCACCTGGGTGGCTTAGTCGGTTAAGCGTCCGACTTTCGCTTAGGTCATGATCTCGCGGTTTGTGGGTTCGAGCCCCGCGTCGGGCTCTGTGCTGACTGCCAGCTCAGAGCCTGGAGCCTGTTTCGGTCTGTGACTCCCTCTCTCTCTCTGGCCCTCCCCTGCTCACGCTGTCTCTCTCTCTCTCCTAGAAATGAATAAAAACATAAAAAAAAAAAAAGAAGCCAGACATCAAATAGAAAGTACTATGTGGATGCCCTTTATAGAGTTCAAGAACAAGAGAAAAAAATCAATCTAAGGTGGTAGAAATCAGATTTGTGGTCAGGGTTGGGAGTATCGACTGGGAAGCGGCATATGAAGGAGCCTTCTAGGGTATCGAAAATGACCTGTATCTTGATTTGGGGTGGAAGTTACATAAGTACATAGATTTGTAAAATTCTTTGAG